TCCAGTCTCCCCTGGCCTCGCAGAAAGGAGGCCCAGCCTGGGTATGTCATGGAACCCTCCTCCTTGAAACTCTCTCTCCCTTGGCCTCCATGTCGTGGGTCCTCTCCCTACATCTCTGATTATTCCTTCTGGGAATGATTTCCTTTGTGGGCTCTCACTCACCATCAAATGTGTGTGTCCTGGTGTCCTGAACCTGCTCTTGTTCTCAAGCTCTCTCTAGACTGAAGACCCTCACATCTCCATCTCAAACCCTGGTCTCTCTTCTGCTCTTGGTGTCCAGCTGCCTACCGGACACTTCTGCTTGGATGTTCCTCAAGCATCTCAAATCCAACCCATCTGAAATGGAATTCACTACCCCTCCCTGCCCCTCACCCTGCAGCTCCACCTGAATTAATTATCTTAGTGAGTTGTCGAACCCAGAAGCCAAGAGCCATCCTTGATTCCTCCCTCCCTTTCTGCTGTACTCTGGATCCCACCTCCAGAAGACAATTGGTCACCAAGTCTAGCAGATTCTGTGTCCTCAACAACTCTTGAATCCATCACCTACTTTTCAGCCCCAGGGCTACTGCCAGCCATCATCTCTTTCCTGGACTCCTGGGATCATCTCCTAATGGGCTCCCCTGACTTGTGTCTTACCTCCTTCTCATCTAGCCTTCATAGGGACTCAGCATCTTCTTAAATACTTTTGAACTGACCATGTCATTTCCCTATTTAAGATCCTTTAAGGCTCCCATTGCCCTCAGGACAGTCCACCCTCCTTCAAATGGTTGAAAATGGCTGCCATGTTCTTCTAGTCCCTGCCTGCTGGCCAGCCCCATCTCTCACAAGACTTGGTCTTTCATCCCAGGTGTCAGCTCTGTGGATGAACTTGCAGTTCCCTGGGTAACAATGCTGTTCCAGGATCTTGCCCCTTCGCCTTGCTTCCTGGCCAACTCTCACTCATCTTTCATTCCTATCTCACTTTCTCTAAGAAAACTTCCTTGACCCTGTACCCTCTTCCATGGAAAGGAGAATTAAGCATTCATTGTCTGCTCACTGTCCTCTATACCCCTTCCCTCATGCCTCTGAAAGACATAGGGGCCCTGATATTTGTTTACCCTCTAGATTATAAACTCCTTGAGGTCAGGATCCAAGTCATATTCTTTCCCATATTCCCAGCACCTCTAGTACATGACCAGCACAGAGTAGGACCTTAATAAATGTCTGCTGATGAATGGATGGATGAATAGACAGACTGATGGAGGGATGGATGGACAAGTGAGAAATCTGTGGCCCAGCTTGGATCTCTAAGCTCTCTGGGATGGTGGGCAGATCTAAGTCAACCACCTTCCCTCACTTTTAGCCTCTCACACTCATGTCCTCCTCACCTGAGATCAATGAGAAAAAAAAATACTTTGCAGCAAGAAGGGAGAGAGAAGATGCGACATCAGGAAAAAAAAAAGGGAGGAAAGAGAAGTTGTCAGAGAAGGCAGCAGAGGAATTTGGAAGTTGGAGGTGCCCTCCTGCTTGCCCATGGTCTGCCCTACTTCATCCCCAGTGGCTAGGTTCCAATCCTGGGACACTGGGGGCTAGAGTGCACAGAGAGGAGGTGAAGATACTGAAACGTTTAGACATTTTTGAGAGTCCAGAGAAGAAACCAAGCCCCTGTGTGTGCCAGATCTCCTTCTAGAACCCCCAGCAGAAAATCTCTCGGTGATGAGCTCTGACTGTATTATCTCTGCAGCGGTGGGCGGAGCCAGTCAGGGCACAGTTACCTGAGGTCAGCCAGAATGAGTATCTCCGCCCTAAGAATTTCAGCTGGTGTGATGTCCTAAGTGTTGATGGTGTTTACTGGCCTTTTGTGTGATTTCCACATCGGGCTCGTGCCTGTTTGCATGGTTGATGACCCCAGCACATCTTTGATTCACCTCAGTCCTAAAGTCCTGACTGATTTCCTGAGTCTTCTTTATCTGCAAATGAGCTATCCAACCCAAGCCCAGATGATTGGCAGCATACAGGGAGGGCGACAACCAAAAGGTGTGAAGTTCTGGAAAAGCAACAGACAAGGCAGGGCCTACTTGGCTTCCTTTATCTCCAGCTCTGCCTCAACAGCTCCTAAGACATGTGCCCTGACATGGTCTGTGGGTGAACGTGCAGGGTGACCATATATCTTGGTTGGCCTGGGACAGTTCTATTGCCTTAGGGTAAGTATGAAGACCATCACCATACTGTTCACTATCAAAAGCATTCCAGTTTGGATGACACATTTTATATCCACTCTATTTACAAGGTGCATTAAGATCCTCTGGGAGAAATCCAAGTGTGACTGTTGTTACCACTCTCTTTTCCTGGCGCAGGTTCGCATGTTGTTACCAGGGAGATCCAGCAACGGCCCCAGGGCTACAGAAAGGACAAACCCAGGTCAAAGAAGGAAATGCAGGGGCACCTGGGTGGCTCATTTGGTTAAGTGACGGCCTTCCTCAGGTCATGATCCTGGAGTCCCAGGATCGAGTCCCACATCGGGCTCCCTGCTGAGCAGGAAGTCTGCTTCTCCCTCTGACCCTCCCCCCTCTCATGCTCTCTCTCTCTCAAATAAATAAATAAAAATCTATAAAAAAAAAAAAAAAAGAAGGAAATGCAGGAGTTTGCCTTTTTGTAAAATCTTGGGCAAGACTTCAAAGCTCATCTCATCTCTCCAGGATCTTGGGAACTGAAGGGAGAGAGGATAATCCCGTGAGATTGCCACCTTTGGACAGCAAGCCCATGGTCTCTAACACTGATTGTAGTTCTGCAATTTAATGTACTTGTTGATCTATTGCTTGCTCAGTGCAGGAATGGCCAAGAATTCTCCTGGCTTTTCCTTCTACATTTGGTTGGGTCAGATGAAGATGGCCTGGTGGGGTGCTTGTAGACCTCCCAATCCTGGAGGGCCCTGTTTCTATGAATGGCCTGGCCAAAGGAAAGATGTTTTTTTGTGGGAGAAGGTAAGAAAAACCTAGAGAAACACTTCATTTTCTGGATAATAAGATGCTTGATTTTATTCCTAGATGAGAGTTGATTCAGCAATTCTGGGACTTGAAATGAAGCCTGCGAGGGTCTGAGCCCCTGACACCTGTCCAGGTTGGGAGATGTGGCAGCTCCATGTATAGATAACTCGGGGTCAGGGGTGACCAGCTGCCCAACAAACCCTCCAGGACCTACCCCCAATTAACTGCTATGGGCAGAAGGAGGCTATAGGACCTCCTGCTTAGGGAACACTCTGGAGCCCAAGAGAGCAGTAGAAAGTTACACACGGGCACCCCCACCAAGCATACACCATCAGTGAAATGTATACCTAAGATCTGAGTATAGTTCATTTCTCAGTGCGAATAATGTCATTCAGCCCCGGGCCAATAGGAGATAACACTAGCCCTCAGTTCCCCTTTGACTTAGAAATAGAGTGAACAAGCTACAGAAAAACAGAAACTAGAAGATTTTATCTCCCTGAGGCTCTCACTTCTTTGTCGCTCTTCACATTCCTGGGAACATCAGCCTCTCGGATTCTCCATGTTCCTCCGAAACCAAGTCCACAAGTCCCAGAGGGCAGTGCTCCTTGCTCGGGGCAGGGAAGGGCCATGGTGGTGGTGGTGGTGGGGGGGGTGGCAATGGCTTGAGAGCTGGTTCTGCTCCCCACCCTGGGCCTGGGGCCTCTGGGGAGCTCCTTCTCTGTTCAGAGCATTGGGTTTCTGGGCTGTTCCTGAGTCCAAGAAAGAGGTGGAGGCTCTACCCTGGTCGAAGCAGGAGCTCGGCAGGGTGTGAGCTTCTCTGCCCTCTGCAATGCCCATAACAGGCAGGCAGGAAGGGCTGGGAACTGGGTGAAGGTGCCATACCCATTGCTAATTGCTCCAAGGGCAGCTTTGAGTAGCCTGAGCCTGTGTCTGTCATACTGAAGCTTGGAGGACCAGAGAAAAGCCCCCAGGAGGCACCCACTTTTCAGAACTGCTGCTTTTGGGGGTGGGGCGCTCTCCTTTGGGTAGTAGGAAAGACGTGGGAAAGCTGAGGGGACAAGAGCTGTTGGAGGAAGGAGTTAACAGCTGAGTATCTTTCATATGGTGGGCCACTGCTGAGGGCTTACTGGTCCCATAGGATCTCATTTTATCCCCCACAACACCCCTGTGGATTATACCCCTTTTACAGAGGCAGAGCCTGATGCCCATAAGTGCTAGGTGTCTAGGTCAAGGCTTCAGCTAGTAAGTGGAAGGGCAAAGATCAGAACTCAGGCCTGTCTTACTCTGGCGCCCAAATGTGTCCCTTACATCTTGCCACCAGCACATGCGAAAGTAAGACTCCACCCCCCACCCGCCAGCCATGCCTCACAAGTTTACCAGGAGTCTGATCTCTCAGCTCACATCTGCAATCTCGCATCTGGCCGCCAGGAAAACCCCGACAGGTCCAGGCACGTGCCCCAGACGCTTCCGCAGCAGCAGCGGAGGGACGCACAGTGGGTCCACATGGGCGCACAGTGGGTCCGCCCGGGCAGAGCCGGCGTCTCCTGCCCACGCGTCTGGCCACCCCGGGTCTGGGGGGGCAGCGCCGCGGGGCTTCGCGCCATGACATCAGCCCTGGTGTGGTGCAGTGTGCAAAGCCCACTGGTTGGCGTGGCCCGGGACACGCCTTCCCCGGAGCGGAACAAAACGGGGCGCGGGCCGGGCGCACCCAGTCGCCGCTTCCGAGAGCGTTCCCGCCCGCGCGCGCCGCTCAGCCAGCTGCCAGGTGAGTGCGCCCGGGGGGCGCACGGAGGGGCCCAGGGGCCGTGCGTGCCCGGCCCCTCCGTGCGCCCCCCGGCCCGGCGCGGCACCCCCGCGGCGCCTGCCCGACTTCCCCGGCCGCCCGGCACGGCTAGGGAGCTGCGGGGCGCTGGAAGGAAAAGCGGTGCGGCCAGGCGGCCGTCCCGGGCCGCGGGAGTGGGACAGGGGGCCGCCCTTAGCCCGAGCAGCGCTCCCGGCTCGGGGCGTCCTGGCACAAAGGGCTCCTGCGTGCGCCTGACCCGGGGTGACCCGGCTCCCCCACCGCCTGCAGGTCTGGCAGCAGAACAATCCGCGGTTCTGCGTGCCACTGACGCTCATTGTACGCAGGGGGATGAGGGCATCCGTGCCACCCCCTCCCTCACCCTCCTGCTCTGGGAGGAGAATGTGCCCGCGGGTGGGGTGGGGAAACATCTGGCTTCAGGGCCCAGCCTGGGGCCTCTGTGCTCTGAGCTCAGGTGTCAGTTTTCACTCTTCCTCGAGAACCAGATGGCACATTTCACCTGCCCCCACCCCCAAGTCTTGGTGCTAAGTGGGGACGATTATGCCCCCCACCCTCGTCAGCGTTTGGTGGCCTCAGTCTTTGAAGGCTGGGGAGCAAGAAAGGAGCTGGTGTTGGGCAAATTTAAAGCAAGTGGCAATAGGTTACCCCCCGAACAACCTCTGAGGCACTCACACAGGCCGGGGAGTATCCTGCAGGCTCTTGGTTTGTGCTGCTGTGAGCTGTTGTGAGCTGTTGTGAGCTAACCAGGACCTGGGTCTAGGCTGGGGGCAGTAGCCTGGGCTTGGCCCCTCCCTAGCGGCCTGGGCTCCAGCCACCCACCCCCCTGCTCCATGGTGGTGAATGAACTAGCAGGGCCTTCCCTCCCTGGGAGGGCTCTGCATTGGGATCCAGTTGCAGTGGCACCGAGGAGATCCACTGGGCACTGGTAGAAAGCGTGTCATGAAGAGGCAGCCGGGCATTTCCATAAGAGATTGCTTGGAAGGCAGACTGGCTCAGTCTTGACAGTTGGATCTGCCACTGAATAGACTGGTGATCTTGGACAAGTGAAGTAACTTCTCAGTGCTCAGTTTCCTTTGGGGATGGTGCTTTGGGGATGTATTGCATAGATGTGAAACACAGCAGGGCTCAATGACTGTCTTCTCTCTTGTCCTCCCCCTTCCTTCCCAGAAGCTGAGGAGGCTGCACGTGCTGGCCGTGTCTCAGGCATCTCAGAGTGTGCAGGTTGGGGGTTTCTCCTGGGATTTGGGGACAAGGGGTGCTGAGCTTCCCTAGCTCTCGCTCAATAGGTGCCTCCTGATTCTCTAGCCAGGCTCTGACTCAGGAGCCCAGGGTCATCTCCTTCAAGAGAGATGGTGCTCAGCCCTCGACTGCTCTCAGGCAGTTGTCATCCCATCATTGCTGAGGGCAGCCTTGCATGGCTCACAGCTTCCCAGGGAACGACCCTTTGCCTCAGAGAGGATATCCAGGGTGGGGACAGTTAGACCAGGAAGGAAGTTTATCCTGCAGAGGGTGTGGTGTGGGCTGCACGAGGGGGAAGGGGACACTGCCCAGTATGGAGGGTCTTGGGGGGACAGGATGCAGGGGAGAAGCTCAAGAACAGGCCCACCAGCTCCGCAGCGGGGCTGCTAATAAAGTGTGGAAAATGGGTGCCACAGCCTTTGGCCTCTGGTCTGCCCCAGTAACCTTTCTTCCTGGCCCGGGTGTTTCCTTTTTGAATTGTAAACATCTGCCTCTGGAGCCCGGCAGCCCTCCCTGGAACAGAGTGGCAGCCTGGGAGTGTAGCATTGACGCGTGGAGGGTGCGCAGCAAACATTTGGTGAATGAAAGGGGTAGATACAGGCTTTTAGCTGAGTGGCCCTACTGGACACTCATAAACCTTGCAAATAGTTTTTCTCTGTGAGTAGTACTGAGAACCAGGTGAAGGGGAAAAAAGAGTTTTTATCGACTGTGGATCTCCTGGTGGGGAGAGGAAACTGGGAAGGCTTTTGTGATAGACTGCCAAAGTTTTAAATATTCATGGAAACCCAGCTTATGGTGAAAAGTGGGTTTGCTTGAGGACTGAAGAGTCCTGCATTAAACATTTTGAGGTGCCAGTGAGGTCTTCTAAACAAAGAGTTGCCAGGGAGAACAAAAGGACCTTTTCTCCAAGTCAACCATCTGCCCTTACTTGGGCATATTGGCAAATATCTAGAGAGTCACAAAACTGAACAGTAAGTGTTAGAGTTGGCCTTCCCTTAAGGTAATCATAAGCAGATACTGCACTTACCGTGCACCAGAGATGGGCCTAAGTCCTTCACGTGTATCATCTAGAACAATCTAATGCTCCCCATTGTACAGATGAAGAAACTGAAGCTCAGGGTGACAAGGAACTTGCCCAGTAGCGCAACTGGTTAGTCATGGAGGCTCCATTCAAACATAGGCAAACTCCTTCCAAACCCATGTTCAGTGATTGTGTTATTATTTTTCTTTGCTCCTGTACCTTTCCGATTTCTAGATCAGTTAGTAAGGAACTATCTGCCATTTATGAAATACACTTTACAAAGTGCTTTGCTGTGGCTTATAAAGTACTTAAGGATGATACAGCTTTGCTCTTGTGAACGTGGACGGAGGCAGGGTTAGAACTCGTGACCTCTAGGTCTCCACTCTGCTACATGGCCAGGGAGGAGAGACACCCCTGGATGTTAGGTCCCAGATCCTAGTGGGTATGCTTCCACCAGGTCTGATGCGTGCTTGAATTTCCAGGTCAGGTTTGCAGGAAAGAAAAGAAGCCTGGAAAAGAGACTGCTTGAGAAAAAGACACACACACACACACACACACACAGCAGCTAGCTGTGGGTAGGGAGGACGGGGAGAGGGGGTGCTGGGTACCAGAGGCTTTGCCTGTTGTTTCCAGTTGTCAGGAATTTCTCTGATAATGACGTGGCTGGACTACGCAGCTCCTCAGGAATTTGTCTGACGTCGGCATTGAGTAATTCCCATGTATGGTAAAGTGTGTAAATACGGAGGCAGTTAGCATTTCCAGACTCTGGCATTTCCAGTGCTTCCCCAGGGCCAGAAGGCAGCGTCTGCCTCCTCAGTAGTGACAAAGGAGGAAGGAATAGAAGGTTTGCAGCTGGAGCATAGGCTCAGCCCCGACCAGGCAAGCAGACCCTCCCTCTCCAGTGCGCTGGGGTTCTTTATGTGGGGATTGCGGTGGCGTGGGGATGGAGCTTCCTGTGAAGTCAGCTGCAGACAACCTGTTTGTATGAGGTCTAAGTGCTAATTTGGTTTTGCTTTTTAAAAATCAATCCAGGAAACATCAATCAGACCTTTCAGCATGGGACCACAAGTTGTTACCACTCTACGTTGACATCACTCCAGAAAAAAACCAAAGAAACTTGATCTGTTGAGTAGCCTGTGAGGCCTTATTATACTATAGGATTTCTTGTACTAGTTTTGAAATATTTTTAAAAAAATCATAGACCCTCCTGCTCTTCTACCTTGGTTGACCTTCAGATGTCTGAACTCCCAAGGGTGGAGAGCTCTGCGGGAAAAGGCATTACAAGACAAGCAGGAGGGGACATAGCACTGTACTTGTCAGCTCACAATCACGCAAGGGCCATGGACATGGATGTGGAAAGAGAACACTCCTGCCACAGAGAGAGGGCTGAGCTTGAGTGACAGTCAAGTTCTGGGGTGCCGTGGGGCCTGGGGTGATCATAGCGCAAAGACGCCGCTTAGCTGTGCCATGGGCAGGGTTGTGAAGGAATCACGTAGTGGGCTGTGGGAAGCTGGGGAGAAATTGGCATTTCTTTATTGACCATCCATCCCTCTCCCAGTGACCATTACTTTCAGGGGAAGTCTATTTCCTGGGTTTTCAGGTGTCACCTCTAAGACATGGGTTCTGAACCCTGATCAGCAGGGCCCCCCCTTCCCTCTCTCTCCTTGGCTGCTCTCTTAATGTGGGGGCGTGGAGGAAGAGACTGAGCTGCAGGGTTGGATGGGATGACAGCTCTCCCGTGTACCTGGCTCAGGTAATGTAAGCAGTGCATTTCTAAGTCGACAAACACCTGACAGGTCTCTACCAGACCAAGAGGGTGGGGACCTGAGCTCTGGGCCCAGAAGTCGCTTTTTGACCCTAAGGAATAGGAGTTTTTGGAATGGGAGAGATGGGATTTTTCCACTGCAGAAATAAAGACAAGGAATGGTTTGTCAAATCAGTGGTTTGACGAGGCTTTCCTTTGGGCACTTGTGGCCAGTTGTTAAGGATTATACATCTCTGAAATGGTTCCTTCGGCTTGAAACATGATCACACTGAACCCATCACCTCATCCCGACTTTCATGACATTTGTGAACATGAGGGCCTGTGCATTTCTCTCCTGCTATGTGAGCGGCCATCTTGAATCCCTCTTCTCAAGATTGAGATCTGGATACAGTTCTTCTTTTTTTTTTTTTTTTAAAGATTTTATCTATTTATTTGACAGAGAGAGACACAGCGAGAGCAGGAACACAAGCAGGGGGAGTGGAGAGGGAGAAGCAGCCTTCCCGCGGAGCAGGGAGCCCAATGTGGGGCTCGATCCCAGGATCCTGGGATCATGACCCGAGCCGAAGGCAGATGCTTAACCGACTGAGCCACCCAGGTGCCCCTGGATACAGTTCTTAATGGGGCAACTAGATAGGAAGGTGTGGACAACTTATCAGAAGAAGCCAATCCTTGGCTTCTGTCTTCCAGCTAGCTCTAAGGATTCTGACTTTTTTTTTTAAGATTTAGTTAATTAATTTTAGCGGGGAGTGGGGGTGGGGCAAAGGAGAGGAGATAGAATCTCAAGCAGATTCTTGCAGGGCTCGATCTCACAACAATGAGAAGATGACCTGAGCCGAAACCAAGAGTCAGATGCTTAACCGACTGAGCCACCCAGGTGCCCAGGATCCTGACATTTTAGGTAAATAGCTGACCAGATGTTTCTAGCCATTCAGCAGAAAATTCAAGCCCTATTCTCTTTTGAGATTAGCAACATGGTGAAGTAGGCCAAACCAGAACACAGACAGCAATTGCCAATGGGAATGTAACTCTCTGAAACCCACCAGGTGGAGAATATGATTACAGAAGATAGCAATGCTTCTTGAACACCAAGAGCAATACACAAAAGAACTTGATATAAAGACACAAGCCTCTGCTTGCCTCTCAAGTTGCCGGGGGAGGGGGGTGGCAGGGACGAAAGCCCAAAGAAGGGCAAGTCGCTTGTCTCGTTTGCTGGGCTGACAGATGAGTCAGGAATTCGTGGTCCCTGTTTGGCATGTTATTTCTCAAGCCTTGCGCCTTCTAGATGTGGAATAGCTGGGAAGGATGGTCAACATCTGGCCCCACAGCTGGTGAGAAGCTTGCCTGGGCCAGCCCTGTCAGTGGTGATCAGCAGATCTGGCCTGGCACCGTGCCATCACTTCTATACATTCTCATTGCCTCCTCAGAGTGG